CAGCAATGATGAGGTTTTCTCTCATTTTTTAGCAACAACTCCATGGAGCAGCTTGCTCACAATCGTGGGAGCAAGTCTCTTCCCAGAGGCGGGGATTGAGTTTGGACACTGCCACGGCCCCTTGGGAGTTGCCCTGGGAAAGGAATCTTGGTTCGTGTGAAGTTCATTTTGGAACTCAGCTACCCTTGCCCACTCTCCACAAAAGGTCCACTCACGTGCCCAGGTGGTGCTCTCTTCAGATGGCTCACGCGGATGTGGGAGAAAAGTCAGAAACCTGACCTGGTCATGCAGCCCCGGGGATGGCCCTTCAAAGAACTTCAAAGATTTTCCTTTTGCTGCTTGGAAAGGGAAAAAGTCTACCCGTGGCTGTTTCACCTCTCTTACTGTGCCTGTGAGGAGCCTCAGGACCTTCTTTGATTGGCTTGGAGCTTTCTCATTGAACGGTAAGTTGTAGATCAATATTTGATGCGTACTGCTGACCCATCCACTGTTTTGAAAACAGTCTTTATGACAAATTTCACAAAACACTAAAAGGGTTGTCGTTCATTAAGGCACCCAACGCTGTTTCCCTTCTTGACGGGTCTTTGGGATTCTTGAGAAAAGCTTAAGGACTGAAGTGGAGGAGACAGGAGGGATGGGTGTGGTATGGAGACTGCCTGAAAGGATGAGATCTGCCCACATGTCTCGAGGATCTGCTCGTAGTTTCCCCCAGAGGCCAGTCGGGGAAGATTCAGCCTTCAAGGCCGTCTTTCATTTGACCTCTCTGCCAGCATTTGAGTGCCCGTGTGTGAGGGACAGAAGGTCTGAGTGATAGAAACCCTCAAGGGTGTCCACTTTTCCTGAATGGAGAAAGAGAGAGCTTGGATTCTGGTCCCTCCATTGACCAGCTGTTGCCCTGGGCACACACTTCACCTCCCTGAACCTTCCCTCATCTCTGAAGTGAGGGGGTGGGGCCGGCTCATCTCTGAAGTGTTTTTTCATTTGAAGTCTTTGAGTCTGTGGTTACTTCCTGTTCTTCATCAACAGTCAGCCCCAAACAGAAGTCTGTTTACTTGAAAGTTTTGATGCTGGCATAAAATTCCAGTTTCACTGGGTTGGAACACATCAGGCTTCCCTGATTGGGACAGAGGAAAACCACAGATATGGCCAAGCCATCAACTGTTGCTCAGACTCAGGGCCACTGCTGGTTTAACCAGCACCTTAGTGAGGATTAGAAAAAAGCGTCCCCTCTGGGTGGACTCAGCTGCAAGTGGGATGGGTCCATGGCCTAGCCAGTGGAAAACTGGCTGCTTTCAGCCCCATCAGCTCCCAGGAGTCCTTGTGCAGTGTACAACCTGCATCAGCATTAGTAGAGGATTCACTGCTGTGGCCTCTGACCACTTTAGGTAAGGAGAAAAAAGAGAAGGGGCCAGAAGAGATGCATGCCATTGATATGACGGCAGGAGACTTTTATAACTACTGCCTTAAAATATTTCATACAGTCAAAAAGCTGCAAGTCTGGGCCTAAGATGCTGCCCGGATCCTACACCTACACAATCCATTTGATTTGGTAGCTTCAAGAGGCATTAGTAATCATTATTAATGATAATAAAACCCCTCACATTTTTATAGAACCTTACAATTTATGTAGCACATGAAATGTACTTTCTTTTTCGATTTGATTCTGATTCTAACCATTGCCCTGGTGAGTAATAATTATCCCCATTTTAAATACAAGAGAAATGAAGCTGAGAGATTCAAAAACTTGTTCAAGGGAAGCTAATAGGGGTCAAGGCAAGAATTGAACCCATGTCTGTCTAGCTCCAAGTTTGAGGGTTTTTTTTCCCACACCAGGTCATATAAGATTGTGATCTGGGCACTGGCAGCCAGACCTAAAGTACCATGCTATAGGGGTTTAGAATTAGTTTGAGAAAGTCATCTTGTTTTAATGAAGGTAGGACTCTCCCACATGGTGCAATAAGCAGACTTGGGGTATCAGTTCTGGAGAGGCCTTGGTAGATCTTACAATTAAACTAAAGCATTCATTTCTCACACCGGGGAGTGATTCCTGGGGATTTGCTTGTTTGGTTAAATGCATCTGTAAATGCAGTTTTCCACTGGCTAGGCCATGGACCCATCCCACTTGCAGCTGAGTCCACCCAGAGGGGACGCTTTTTTCTAATCCTCACTAAGGTGCTGGTTAAACCAGCAGTGGCCCTGAGTCTGAGCATCGGTTGATGGCTTGGCCATATCTGTGGTTTTCCTCTGTCCCAATCAGGGAAGCCTGATGTGTTCCAACCCAGTGTGCATTTAACCCAGGATTCTCTCCAACACTTTAGGTATCACCCTGCAAGGCATCCTGAGAAAGCCTTAGGAATTCAGAAAGAGTCATGTAGAAGTCACCATACGGCATGAAAATAATGCCTGTCGGCCACTACTGACAAATCCAAGACTCTTCAGCGTCAACATGGTCTCACTGATGGTGTTATCACAGGCCTCTTGAGCTGCCTGCAACACTGCTTTTCAGTACAACATCTGAGATGGTTAAATTGGAGCAGCCTCCACCTCTCCCTGAGCTCCAGACTCAACACCCACTGCCTCCCATATCTCTCCACCTGGACACCTCCTGAGCATATTCAGCGTAAGTGTGTCTAAAGTGTTCATCACCTTCTTCTCCCACAATCCCCTTCCCAGGCCCACTCCTCCTGTAGTTCGTGAGATTTCCATTACGGGCATCACGATGCATCTCCCAGCCCTAGCTCAACACCTTACAATCATCCTCTGTTCCACTCACTGCTCCCTCACCACACACACTTGGTCATCAGGTACTTTTGACTCTACTTCCTAGACACCCCTGAAATCCATTCTCGTTCCTTAGTTCCCACTGCCTTTATGTTAGTTGAGTCCTCCTTCTCTCTGCTTCCCATCTCTCCAAGCCGGCCATTAGCTCTCTCTCCAAATCTGACCATACCGTTTCTCTGCCTAAAACCCAAAGCTGACTTCCCACTGCCACAGGAGAGACCTCACCGTTCTTAGTAGCAGCTCAATCCCCAATACTTGCAATTCCCACAACCTGCCACTGACTTGGCCTATACTCTCTCCTCTGCCTAAGATACTCCTTCCCTGGGCACTCTAATCATTTTCAACACCCTGCTCATCCATCACTTCTGCAGTGCTGACTTCCCAGTAACTCCTGGGGGACTTTATCACTCCCTCCTTTGGATTGTTTCAACGTCCCACAGCTTCTGCTATTACGATGTGTAGGACAGTCATGTGTTGTTTAATGATGTGGATAGTTCTGAGAAATGCATTGTTACGTGATTGCGTCGTTGTGCGAGCATCATGGAGCGTCCTTACCCAAACCTAGATGGTATAACCTGCTACACACCTAGGCTATATGGTACTAATCTTATGGGACCACTGTTGTCTATGTGGTCCGTCACTGGCTGACACATCGTTATGCAGTGCATGACCGTATTCTAAACACGAGTTTATTTCTGTATCTGTCTCAAAGTGTTTATCAGCCTGTGGGGCTTTAAAAGCAGAAACTGTCTCATTATCTTTTGACTCCCCAGTCCTGTCACACTACCTGGGACACAGAAGCTACAGTAAATGTTGAATAAATGGATGGGGTGGATGTACCGCCCTCTTGGATGAAATCAGTAATGCAGCTTGTTGAGTGTTGCTTATTCTCTTGGGTTTAGTCCTGAGGGCAAAGGGCAGAAGTCATCCTTTCTGTATTCTACAGGCTAAATATTGACAAAGTAAGGAGGCTGGAGAAACATATGTGCAATGCATTTCTTTCCTAAAACTGTGTGTGGGGTGGGGATGGGGAGCCCGAATTTCAGAGGAAATGAAGGACCTGATCAGACTTTCCAGTACAGCGGCCTCCCCAGCCCAGCACTGGGCAAAGAGAAGGCACATCAGACGAGGAGGTCATGGCAAGATCTTTGCTGAATTCTTTAGATGGAATTTGCAAACTATTTGTAAAAGGGTTAGGAACAAGACGCATCAACACTACTTTTTAAGCCCTGCTCCTTACAACTCAAGGCTCTCCCATTATCCAACAGGACTTCAGAATGAGGGTTCCTCAAAATTAGCTTCAGGGTCCTATGAACTTTAGCTGAGTGAATGAAACGCAGCAGATTTGGAAGGAAGGGGCTCCTGGGATGATCAAGTGCACTCTCTCTCCCCTTCCTCATTCAACAGAATCTGTGGAGCATTGCCGTGGAGCAGCAATCCTAGCACACTGGTTGCCAGCATCGTCGGTGAAATGACGCCGTGCTTGTCTGCTTCGGTTTCCCTTTCGGTTAGGCAGGACTGGCTTTCCTACTAGCTAACAGCTATAGTGTATTTAACTCCATTATTACATAATGTACTTCTGTGAAGCTCTTCAAAACACTAGGGAAACAGGGTTAATTGTGTCCTCCATTCTACCTTCACAGATGGGGTGGGGGGCTGGGAGTGGGACCATTCAGAGATTCAAAGAAGTTGGGAAGCAATATGTGCCACAGCAAATCCTCAGGAGCTCAGGGAATAGCAGACAGGTTCCCATCCCACTCCTGGCTCCAGGCCATATTTTCGTTTTGGCCAGTTTCTTAGCCCCATTGAAAATCTGGCTTCACCTAGAATAATTTAGAAAGAGCTAAACCCAGGATACTTTTTGGACAGTCTCAGGCCTTGAGTTTTTCAGTAGCACACAGAACGTTCATCTGTCCCTTTGCAGCCGCTCCTATGGGCAGCTGTGTCAACTGGCGTCAGAGCACTGCACCCCAGCGCCCCTAGGAACCCAGAAGCAGATGGAAGAGAGCCGAGGGTCCTCGCGAAGGAGAACAAACTAGAAGCGAAGGTGTGAAGAGGCAGGAGGCTATTTAGAAATAACCCTTAAATCTTCCTTTTCTCTGGGGCTGGTCTCATCCTTCTAAAGAAACATGTGAGTGGGAAGTCCCCTTCCAAACAGAGGGCAGCTTAAACTGTATCTAAAAAAACCCACAACAACCACAGAAAGTCTTGAGACTCACCTTTCAGTCCACCGGCGAGCTTCCTGCAGGCGGGTCGCCCAGGGATCCCCGGGGCTCCCGTCTGACAGCGATCAGGACTGGGGGCGAGGTCCGCGTTTCCTTCCCGAAGGCCCCGCCGGCCCACGCGGAGCCGACTCTGGGGTGGCGGGGTCAGCGGGGGCCGCCCCGCGCCGCGCCTACCTGCCGCCCGTCGGGAGAGTGGCGCCCTCTGTGTTCCCTGCCCTCCCGCTGGCCGCCGCCTCGCATTTTTGAGGTTTCACTCCAACTCCGTCCTGCCCCTGATGTCAGAAACTCAACTTCCTGAATCACACTCGCGCTCTCTCCCGCACCCTGGGCCCGGCCCAGGCTCTGCGCGCGGGGCACCCAGACCACGGGTGCCCTCGGATTGGGGCGCACACGCCCCAGATGCGCCCTCCCTCCGCGTCTTCCCGCCAGTTACCCCTCCCCGCCCCCGCCGTTACGTGTTCGTGCCCCTCCGTCCCGGAACACGCCTCCTGCAGGACACAGGCGCGCTCCTCGCCGGCGGAGCCGGTCCCGGTCGTTTTCACAAATGCGCAGAAGTTCCCAGAGACTTGAGACATGATTCGCGGCAAACTCGCCTTAAGTGAAAACAGCCCAGTGCTGCCTACTACAGCAGCCTTCTTGGAAAAAGGGTGGGAGGCATTGGAGAGGGAGGCCACGGGACAGATTGGGTGGAGGCTCCCATGCCTTATCTGGGCAACAAAAACGACAGGCTCTTCTAGACAAGGCTGTGTGCTCAGTGGGGTGCAGCAACATCTCCGAAAAGTCTTTGTGCGGCTCACTGAAGGCTTCGGGGGGGAAAACTACGCCCCAACGGCAGCTGTCAGAAGCAGAGATGGAGGGGGAAACTGTCTTCAGACTTCTCAGAGTTTCTTCCCCTCTCATCATGAGTTGCCGTCTGTCCATTTCTTATTCAGATCTCCCTGGGTCTGATTTCCAGCGCCTGGAAGGCTAGAAAAGGAGAGGCCTGGCCCAGGGCTGGATGCAGGGCTCCAGACACAAAGCTTCTGATGCCCAAGGGCAGAGAACTTGCTCAGTGTCTAAGGTTACCGTGTGTGGGAAGGGAGGTGATGCCGAGTCCTGGCCTGGGAGCATCTTCCTCAGAGTCATCTGGGGAAGTCCTTCCGTGACATGGACCTGAGATACTGCCGTCTTGACTGTTTCTGCCAGGTACCCAAGTGCTCAGATGCCAGGTGCTTAGCCAGGTCCTGCCCTCCCCCTCCTGTGCTTGAGTGCTGGTGTCCTTTGGCCTCTGCATGTGGACATTAAAAGGACTGGTGCAGCCAACTGTTTTCACTGAGGAACAAGAGATCCCTTTCTGTTAGTGCAGGAGAAACCAAAGGGCTCTGAGCTGAAAGGCCAAAGAGAAAACCCAGCCCTCCAGTCAGAATGCCAAGGATGATTAAGAGAGAAAAACCAGTTTTCTTCCAGTGCAAGGAGTTTAGATGAGACCCTCTTCCCAGAAATCCGGGTTGAGTGAACTCAGTCTGGACTTGAACAAGGATGAGGAAGGGGGCCTTCAAGCAGGTGGGCTAACAAGTAGTGAGGTGGGGTCAATAGAGGTTGGAAGGTTGGGCTTGAAAGACTGCTTGGAAGCGTCCTGACTGAGGGGCTTCCCTCGGTAGATGTGTTTTCCAAGATGGGAAAAGCTCAATCTGTAATCACGCTTTGAGCTTACGGTTGTCCACCTACATAGAGTTGGTTCCTCTAACACTCCTGGAGCTTAAAGCCAGAGTATAATGTCTAACAGAGCGTTGAGGAAGACAGGCCTGAGGGGCTGGCAGTGAAGCCTTGAATGGCAGCCTAAGGATTCGGGATATTTGGAATATTTGCTTCCATGTTAAGGAAGGACACTAGACACTGGGCCAGGAGCTTTACGCATAACGTATCATTCAATCTTTCACAACACATTCATGAGATGTAGTATTAGCCTCATTTCACAGATGAGGAAACTGAGGTTCAGAGAAGTTAAGTAACTTCCTCAAAGCCACATAACTCATAAATGGTGGAGCCCAGTTTGTGTCCAAGTGTTTCCAACTCCCCCATCCATCCTTTTACCACTATATCATCAGGTCGAGGAAAAAATTGCCTTCTGCGGAAGAATTCCACACTTGAGCAGGGGTAATGTTCAGGCCTGGAATGAGGCCTATTGAGGGAAGCCTACCGAAAATACTTTCCTGGGAATCGAGAGCAGCATTACAGATTGACTGTGGCTATGTGACAATTATTTAGGGTTGCTTGTAAGAGAAAACAGAAAGAAACTAACTGAGAGAAACTGTGAAAACTGACTTGAGCTCAGGGCTTCGTGGACATGGCTGTCAGTGGTAGAAAGAAAATCTAGAGGCCTACCCAAAAGGTGATATCTCTGTGATGTGTCTGTTAGTGAGTGAGGAAAGCCAACAGCTTCTGTGGCAGAGAAATTAGTGACTCATAGGTGAGCAAGATGGCAGATTGGCTCACACTGGATTGCCAAGGCTGCAAAGTCTGTTGGGGAACTGATACTACTAGGAAGATGCAATTATGGCAGAAGTAAAGAAGTGGGTATCTGACCAAGATGTTCTCACTCCGGGTGGATGATGCAACCCTTACGAACAAGCAAGTTAGAGCACCACCTACTATTTTATTCTCTTGGCCCGAAATCCCAACTCTGATGAACTCATGAATGACCCCAGGCAACCACAGTGTTGTTACATTTTGCTTAATCCTCATTATTTTTCATGTTTTCAGTAAAGATATTTAAAGGTGGTCAAGAGGTTAATGGGCTCTAAATGGAGTGAAACAGAGCATTAACATCTAATTAAAAAAGAAAATCCAAAATAAGCAGATTTGTGAACTGAGACTGGAAATTTGAGTGACTACCCCTCACTAACTTTAGCACCTGCTAAGCTATGGTTTCGCATCAGTATGTTCACAGAGTGCTGTGAAAATCAATAGGGTATTTATTATAGAACTGTAGCCTGCTGTGAAGGCAAGGTCTGCCTATACTGCTTTTCCTTCCGGGCTGTGCCCTGTTCAGACAGGTGGCCTTGCACTACTGGCCAGCATTTATCCCTGTGCTGCTTGCAGACACTCTCCCATCAGTTTGCAAACTCCCTGAGTCCAGAATAAGTTCAAATATAGTGTGTTTACCCCCAGGACAGTGCTTCCCAAAAAATGGGTGTATTCTTCATGTATGGAAAGTATGAAATTGAGAACATTGTCTTACTCTCACCTAAAACTGTGGTGTATTCTTGTCTACAACACTTGGGTGAGGGTCGGGAAGCATAAATGGGGCCACAGAAGTCCTTGAGTGATAGCCTGGGTGCTCTGAGAAACCAGCTAGAAGTTAGAAGCGCTGCTGACAAGGTGCAGGCTGTTAGGAGGAAATGAGCAGCCTATAAATGGTGTGGATAAGATGAGCACAGACTTGTTCATCAGATCCTGAAAGATAGCAGTGCCTTGGAACCAGGAAGGAGGCAAGTTCAGGACTAGTCAGTGGAAATACTACACCACGCAGCAGGCGAGGAATTTATGGAATGGATTATCTCCCAGAGGTGGCACAAGCTGGCGACATAAATGGATTCCAGAAGGGTTTGGACAGATGTGTGAATGGCAGAGCCGTAGAGGAGAGCTGCAGAAAGCTGAGATAGACTCCATGTGGTTGGGAGAGCAGGATGACTAAATGGGCCCTTACACTGTGCCTACGTGTGGGTCTTTGTGGGCGAGAGTCATGGCCTCCATAGAGCTTGGATTTGAACTTGTGGGCATCACCAATGCTACCTCCCTAATTCTGCAGACTCTGTGGCCTTTGCGTCATGAAGGGAGCAAAACTTTGTTCTTTTTCCCTTAGCCAAACGTTTTCTGCACATACTGTCTTGTCTTTTTAGTCTCATGTGTGTTCAGTTTTAGTGGGTTACCCAAAAAACAGTGAGTTTTCCAGCTTAATTATAGCCATTCTAAGAAAATATTTCCTCTGCCCCACTCCCCCTACACCTTTTACAGCCCTTTTAAAATGCCTTGCCTTTTCATTTTGGCTTTGGACTTCTAAACAGATTCTGAGAGCCTGTTTTCACATCAGTCATTGTATTTATCTCTTATGATTAGATTTCTGTCGAAAACTTTCCTGCTAAACTGTCTAATTCTGACATAAATTGCTCTAATATGAAAGCTCCAATGAAAAGAGCAGTGATAATATACTTTTTTGAGGAAGTCTTTTGAATGCGACGTCCAAAATGTCTTCAATGCTGCATCCAGGATGCCAGGGAAAAGGTTAATTTTATGGGCTGTAACTCCCAATCTTGGCCTCAGGGGAAGTTTAGGAAACTCTTGGATGTGTCCTCAAATAATCCAAGTGTTGCCCTACTCATCCACGTTCCCCTGCCTGACGCGCTTCATGTTTTCTGTAGCGCTCCTGTAAGTTCCAGAGATAGTGTGCCCCGCCCTGCGCCTTCCAGTAGTGGGGCAGGTGGCGCATTGTCTGTACTTACGGCACATGAAGGGGCTCAGTTTTCATTTTCTGTTTCTGGCTCCGGCCCCCAGAGTTGTGCCTTGAAAGCTCTTTCTACAGCACTATCGCTGGCCGTGGTAGACTGGCGGGCACTGCTGTTCAGGGCCCTTTTGTTGGGATTCAGCATTGTCGTTGTTCAAATGTAAACAAGGGCCTCCGGATTCCATTTTCCTGGCAGGGGTCTCGGGATGGGAGGAGGGCCCCACAGAGTTCTCATTTCATCTCTCTTTGTGGTTCTCCTCGTCTTCTGCTCTTCCCTTGGGGTTGGGTTTACTTATCAATTTATTGAGTGAGCCCATGGTGTGGGTTTCATATAGCATTTCCATGGACTAGGTAAAACATTTCTTGTCGCTTTGTGAGAGAGACGCCTGGGCAGCCCCAGCTTGCCCTGCCCAGCACACTCACTCTGGCAGAAGTTTTTGTGAAGGCTGAAATTGTTTATTCCTCTTGCCTGGAGGGCCCACAAAGTGACTGTGCCTTTGAAATTTTCTTCCTTAACTAGTTCAGTGACTCAGAACGTCAGTGTTGCCACAAACAAACTTCCTTTCTCTAGGTTGGCTCTTTCTTAACAGGTGAAAGGAAGTGCTGACGTAAAGACAAAATAATGGGATAATCTTCATTTACCCAACTGCAGAAATTGACTATGTTTCAGGCACTGTGCGAGGCAGCTTATGCATACTGCCTGTAAATTTCCAACAACACTATGAGATACTATTATATCAGTCTAGTAGATGAGCAGACTGAGATTTGGAAAATTTAAAAATTCGTCATAGATCAGGTTGCTGGCAGACAGAGATTCCAACAAATTGTTAGAAACACATTTGTTCAGCACATGTATGTTCCTAGTACCGTGCGAAACATGAGATAGACAAAAATGGATGAGACTGTAGTCTGATAGAGCTTATGCTAGAGTCAGGTTTCAACCCAGAACTTTCTGAATTCAG